CCAGCCATCGTATGCCGGCCGTGAAAGCCTTCGACAATACTCTATTGAAAGACTTTGAGGGAATCAAAAGGGCCTGTAAGGAGTGGGGAAGAGATACATATAGGAAGCTTTCTTTCTCACAACTTTCTTAACTTATCTTAGGATCCAAGTAAACAATTGTTGCTCTCTAGAAACGGTCTTTTTCAACATGATACAACCCTGACGACAGCATATTACATCATTAGTGCAAAAAATGGGTTTTGCAAAAGATACTAAAGATTTATATTCCAACTTAGAACTCAAGCGTCTAAGTGCCATTCCCTCTGCAGCCAAAATTCCCCCATTCATGTAATGTCTCCAACATTTGCAGATGTATTAAAAATTCCATCTCAACATTTCTAGACAAGAACTGAGCATGCTCAGTGAACACAGAACGTTGGTTACATATTGGAGGGGAAGAACAAAGGAAGGGAATGGAATGGAATGGAATGGAATGCCTAGAAATCTGAAAAAACATCTTATGCTGCAATATTTGGCCATTTGGTCCTTCTTATACCTACATTAGACAGTGTAGAAAATTCAGTTACAGAAGTGAAGGAATTTGGCCAATTTAAACCAAAGGCAAAGATCATAAATATACAATTTACTGTCTTTTCACAGGACATACTAAATGTAAGTTAATAAAACCTGAAAAGACTTGTTTAGCAGCTATAAATGGGCAATCTGTGATACAAAAACAGGAAAGACCGAATTGCTATTGGTAGATGATATATATGGCTTACCAGGTAGCTCAAGGCACTTGCCAACTGTTTTGCTACTTTGAATTTCCAAGGTGTTGTAAGAACATCACTCCTGCGGTGCATAAAAAGATCCAGAGGCCCAAACTCAACTAATTCTTCCACCATAATGTCTACAGCCACAAGAAAAAAAATACAGATTAATTGGATTAAAAAATAGATAAAAATAAAGTTCATGTCATTCAGTCTTCAGAGCATTTTGGTTAGGAAGAGAAATCACAAAAAAGTGAACTTTCAAGAAAGCTTCATTCTAAAATATATGTCTCAGTATGTAAAAATTTATTTAAATTTTGGGAAAGATGAATACATAGGGAGATTTCAAGACAGGGGTAGGACCATTGTCAATAGGCTGATCTGATCCTTCTGGAGATCTGATCTGATGTCCTTTTTGGGGGTTCCATTCTCTCCCAAACCCCAGTGGACTATCAGATAAGAAACAGATCACTCCAAAAACGAATCATTGGGAGGGAGTGAAATTAACTGAAGACCCCTTGCAGTCATGGGCTATCACTACACCTAATTAAGTCATCATTTCTGCTTGAAAGGTTGTATTCAGAGAGATTACTTACTTTCTACATCACGTACACAAACTCCATGAAGGAGGACAATGTGCTTATGGGATATTTGCCTCATCATGCTTGCTGTCTCAAAAAATGCCTGTTAAAATACACACATTTCAGGGGTGACATCAACAAAATTGAAAGAATGATACAAAAGATTTACCATCTCCCCAATAAGTATATCAGCCCCTACTAAAAATTTGGGAAGGTTCATACTTAACTGTAGTAACAGGAGACAGCCCCTTCTAATACTAAGAGGTGGGGTTCCCAACACAAATATATCTAATGAAAGAGCATTTTGTTCTATACTGGTATATCTTCAAAAGCATTTAAATAACATCCTCACAAATTATGACTAGGGCTCTGCAGCACTTCATATACTTCATAGAAAAATGCTCTGCAATTCACATGGGCATATATATAGCATCTGTCATCAGTGGCTTGGAAGAATACATCTCTCCCAGGATTGCATTGCAACTGTGAAGGGCTGTCACAGGGAAAGTCACAGCTTCTTTACGCAGTTGCCAACAGGTGCCTCAGGCCTGACCCCCTGCCTTCTGAGTCACCTTTTCCTCTTCAGATCTGGATAGCTGCACAACCCAAATGAATATATGGTTACACACTTCAAGGACAAAATGACTGAAACTGTTCTCAGTTTATATTTATAGCTTTGTGTTCCAACCTCAACATTAAAGGTAGCATACAAAAGAAAACCAGCATCAGCGATATCAGACTTTTAAATAGCAAACTTAGAGAAACCTACCAGAGAAATGTCTCTGTGGCTTGGATCTAAGACTTTCAGGATAACTTTAATCTGCATTTCCCCCTGATAACTTTCATCGTCCTTATAGCTAAGAATCCCAGAGTAAATCTGTGTTCTTGTTCCTCTGCCAAGATGTTCATCCTAAAATACAAGATAAACCCAGCAATTGCAAACTATATCAAATATGCATGTTTGGGGAGGTTTTTTTTAGGAATGTACATATGTGACTGCTAGTCCTGCAAGGGGGAAAAAAGACTTAAATGAACGTTTTAAACTTTCATTATAAGAGGCAATGAATGTACAGTACTCTTTGGTAAACAGAATGTTAGAAATGGTCAACTGGTATTAATTTTAAATGAATTGACGGTGTTAGATAAAATTAGACACTATATTTAATGAATAGCTACCTCCATATTATATTCATGGGACTTTAAAACTAATTGTTATTGTCTTTTTCTTGTTGCCAATTACTTTGGTTGAAAAATCTTTATGCTAATCGTTACACCAAATCGGGGAAATTTCTGAAGGATTGGTGGACCACAAGCCAGCATCCTGACCTCTTAAAGGGCTGTAGAAGACCATTCAATGTTGCTGCAATATCACCAGAAGGGACATGGCAACATTTCTCAGCCTAGTTTTGGCCTGGGGGGTAGGAGAAGATTCTGAGAGGCAAACCACTTCCACTGCCACCCATATATCCCCCCCCAACAATAAAACGGTCTGTAGTTGCTCTGAATGTTGATAGCATGATCTCAGAAGAGGAGTGTCTATATGCAGAGTGCTGCCCAACTCTGGTTTATATTCAAGGCTATGACTGGATTGTAACAAGAATGGCCTGGTAATTTCAGGAAGATTGTTTTATCTGTCTCCATTTGGATCAATGTTTATGTTCTCAGAACACGCCAAAACAAACATTGATCTCCTGTGCCTCCTGCCTTCCTTTCCTCTCTGACATAGCTGCAAGAAAACTGTAGGACACACACACACACACACACACACACACACACACCGGTTTAATCCATCTTTTCTACAACCTAGCTGCCCTTCAAGTGTGTGGACTTCAATGCTCAGAATTCTCAATCAATGTGGCCACTACTGAGAATTTCAGGACTTGAAATCCATATAGCTATTGGGTACCCAGTTTGAGGAAAGTGGTTTACTTTTGTCTGAGCATTAAACTATGATTAATCTTAACTATTAGCTGTTAAAAGAAGTTAACTTCACGACTCATGGTTTGAAGTTAGGCTGTTCAAACAAGCCAAAGAGAAAATTAATGACAGATTGTCATGACCAAGACATAAATAGTTCGTTTAAACAGAAACTGAAAGCTACAAACTCCTCCTCAGGATAGTGCTAAAAAAGGAAATTGGGAGGACTGATCTTATAATAACATTAAGCTATGGTTTAACATACAGGTAGTCCTCACTATCTGACCACAATAGGGACTAGAATTTAGGTTGCTAAGCAATTTGGTCACTAAGTGAACTGGAGCGGCTTTTACAACCTTTTTATGATGGTCATTAAGCAAATCACTGTGGTTATTAAGTGAATCACATGGTCATTAAGCAAATCCAGCTCCCCAATGGACGTTTTGCTGGAATTTGCTTAATGACCACACGATTTGCTTAACAACTGTCATAAAAAAGGCCACAAATCGTGATCACATGACTGCAGGGGTTGTAAAGCACTTTTCCCAAGGCCGTCATAACTCCGGACCATTGTTAAATGAATGGTAGTTAAGCAAGGACTGCCTGCATGTCCAGATCATCCCTATGTATCTGTATTTAGCAAGATCTTGAATATTACATACATTTTGATATGAATGCAATATTTTCCTTTTTGTTTTCTGGCAAGTAATTCCCTAGTTCAAGTAATTCTTTATAACACTTTCAAAACATTAACCTGTAAGTGTAGTGCATAAAATTTCTTGCAAGACTTCAGGGAATATTTCTATCACTTAAAAAATACACAGAAGCACAATTGCCTAAACTTTCATAATTATTTAATATGAGTAAATAGATTATGTAAAGAGTTTTGCTGCATTTTCTTTGACATTACTGCAAGTCTTAATGAAATAATACATTTGTGAAATTTTAAAAGATTTAAAAGATTAAGAGTAATCACTTACTTGCTTTATTTCTTCTTTAAGTATTCGATGAAAGCTCAGTTGACCTAAAGGACAGACTGGCTGCCACTCTTGGGATTTCTTTGTAGCTACTAGCAAATTGGAGATTTCTAGAAAGAAAAAGGAAACCTCTCAAATATATTTGAAACAGATTGTCATCCAGATCTATTACAGGAATGCAGAACAAAATCAGTTGTTAAGAATCCTTCAAATGACTGCCGGCGCTGGATATTTTCCAAGTAAAATATCAATATATCTTCAGATCAAATCTATTCCACAAACGGTAGATGCTAAATTTGATTTTCATTATGAAAATCAACTTTCACTTACAAATTTTACTGAATAGCTTGCTATAAGCCACTGTCTCTTTCTATGCAACTTCTTATCTCAAGGCGGCTGCATTAAATGAAATGCCCGATCCAACTTCAACATAAATATAAAGGAACAGTTGCTAACCAGAGTACTTCTACCACAGAACAGATGGTTTCTACTGAAATATTTCATACAGAATATTCACCTCCTTCAATTGCACCCATATAAGCCATTATTACTTTGCTAAATGTATAGCCTATTTTTCTCTAGATAATATCAGAATGGCTGCTTAGCCTCACTGGAAACAATGTAAGATATATTTGGCTGAACTAAGAATATCCCATTGAATCTGTGATGCCTATCAGGATCTGAAATGCACTATAATCATTATTCTGGCCATTAACATCAAATTAGCATGCTAATTAATATCTCTAAGAATGTTTTAAAAGAAGCTCCTCATATATTAAATTAGGAAGAGGCTTCATGTGTTTTAAAAATGACGGAGTAATATAAGGTTGCAATTAATTACACCATGAGACTATTCTTGTCCTCTCAGTAAATGAAGCTGATACTCATAATTGCTTTCAAAACTTGATGGAAATCCACATTTCCTTACAGGCACTCAGAACAGCTAACAGGCTGTTTAGGCAATCTTCTGTCTCTGAATCTTGCACAGCTTTTATAAATGAAAAGCATTGTGTATCATTGGGATAGTGACACACTGGCTCCATTAAAGTGCAAAAAGTCCACCCTCAGAGATCTTCCTATAAGCAGCGCCTACAGTACTGTGCAAAAGTTTTAGGCAGGTGTGAAAAAATGTTGTGAAGTAAGAAGGCTTTCAAAAAATATATATTGTAATGGTTTATGTTTATCAATTTACAAAATGAGCGAACAGAAGAGAAATCTAAATCAAATCAATATTTGGTGTGCCTACCCTTTGGCTTCAAACCGGCATCAATTCTTACACTTGCATGCTTTGTACACTTGCACAAAGTCAGGGATCTTGTAGGATTAGAATCAGGTGAATGATTAACCAATTATACCAAGCAGGTGCTAATGAACATCAATTTCATATGTAGGTTGAAACACAGTCATTAACTGAAACAGAA